GGAAAAATTATGGTGGGTGGCGGAATCACAACAATAACAGTCTTTCGCGGTCGCAATTTAGCGTCTAACGACAAATAACGTCGATAACGAGACGCTATTCCCGTTATCCACAAGTTTTCGCGTAAAAGAAACCCACTGCCATAGTTTGCTCTCATCATCAAAATAGAGCAAGTATTAAAGAGAGAAAAGCAAGCAACGCCAGAGGAAGTGAGTAAGCCTCTTACTAATGGCTGAGAGCTGGTCGATAAGCAAATGGGTCTTCGTTTTTATGCTCATTCATCTTCTTCTTCACTTGATGAAGATGGTATGTACTGTCACTTTCCACCATTTTTTGAAGCTCTAATTTGCATTGTTTATGGATTATGCTTTCTGGGTTTCTTGCTTTTGTTTGAGAATTACATGCTGCTTTTGGGACTTTCTAATTTTTCTTTTGTTTTGGTGCTCTTTGCATGTGTTTGCTGATGAGGATTGTTGGAGTGTTGTCGTGGAGAAGAAGACAAAGGCTTAGTCTAGGTCAAGGAAAGGATTTGGGGTTCAATTTGGGTGAATATTTGGGTATTTAAAACCATTTATGTTTATAATTTGGATTTGATGCTGTTTTTTGGTGTATGGATCTTGGATTTTAAATTAGATTAAGAATCCAATTAAAAAATGTGGTAAACTTGTTACCATTTATAAGTTAGAAGCATATGTTGTTACCTTAAAATGTATGATGGAAAAATGGGTCATCAAGTATAATTATTATATTTTAGGATAAATTGTGCGAATTTTAAAAAAATTCACGACCGCAACACCCGCAGTGACCGCGATTGCATCCGTTATGTCCGCAACCGCGATAAACGCGACGCGACCGAAAACGTGACCGCGAACGCTATTTAAATCCCTGGTGCTTACATCACTAAATTCATTATTATCAGATTATTCTTATTACTGAAATGGGAATAGGGTAGCAAGTGCATCAATTTATCCAAATGCAATCTATGTTGAATATACATATAGATTTTACTGCTTTTATGTTGACAACATACAATATGATGTAATTTTACCTTAATTGTGTCGATGCATTATTCTGTTTAGGTCATACTAGCAACTAATATTGCTGAGACATCGGTGACAATACCTGGAATTAAGTATGTCATAGATCCTGGAGTTGTAAAAGCACGTTCCTATGATCCTGTCAAAGGGATGGAATCGTTGATTATTGTTCCAACCTCAAAAGCACAAGCAATCCAGAGAAGGTAGGGGTGAAGGATAAACAATTTTTTTTATATTTACATTGATCTCATATTGAGTGGTTTTCAAGAAGGGTTGAGGGAGTGCTTGTTGTGCTAATACTGTCTTCAACTGTGTTATTCTAATTTATTCTTCATTTTGTGTCCTTATTACAATTTTTTTTCACGTTTCACTTATTTTGTATGTCCCTTTTCTCTTATGATTATAAGTGAAGGTACTTGGCAGATGAGGCGGTTAACATGATGTTTTTTAAAAACAATGACAAATTCTTTCTGTAGTGGACGTGCAGGGCGTGAAGGTCCTGGGAAGTGTTTCCGTCTCTACCCAGAGAGTGAGTATGAAAAGCTTGAGGATTCAACCAAGCCTGAAATTAAGCGGTGCAACCTATCAAATGTCATTTTGCAGCTCAAGGCCCTGGGTGTTGATGATATATTTGGGTTTGATTTCCTGGAGAAACCCTCAAGGTGAATCACTTTAGAAGTTAATTTCAGCTAATGTGTAAATCACTTTTTCTCTTTATTATCATCTTTAACTGATCATAGAACATTACATCTAACCAATTTTAATCACTGCTAAACATTCTACAAATTTGGATAAGGTGGACCTCTCTCTCTCTCTCTCTCGCTTCTCAATTTTCCCTTTTATTATATGGTGTATGATGGTGAATGTCTCTTTTTCACATTTGAACAGGGCTGCTATTAAAAAATCATTGGAGGAGCTGATCTTGCTAGGTGCTTTAACTGATGAACTCAAATTGTCAGATCCTGTTGGTCGTCAAATGGCTCGGCTACCATTAGATCCTGTTTATTCTAAAGCTCTCATTCTAGCTAGCCAGTTCAAGTGCCTAGACGAAATGTTAATTGCTGTTGCAATGCTTTCTGTAGAATCTATCTTTTACGAGCCACGTGAAAAGATGGATGAGGTATGATAATGTACTACAAACTTCCATCATTGTCATGCATGTAGGCTTAGATGTTTTGCTTTAGTTCTCTGTTCTTTTCTTCCAATTAATGATGAAAATATGAAATGCTTTTTTCATTGGACAAGCAAGATCGGCGAAGAAATGCTTTGCAAGTTCCGAGGGAGACCATCTTACTTTGATTAATGTCCATCGAACATCTATTGAGTTACTGGAGAAGAGAAAGTCCGAGGCTGGAAAGGAAAAGCCTGAAAAAATTCTTAGAAAGTGGTGCAAGGAAAACTTCATCAATAGCCGCTCTTTGCGACATGCCCGTGACATCCACAGGTTGGATGCACACACCCCTATTTAATTGTTGAACTTTCTCTTTTTTCACACACAGTAAAACTCTTCTGTTATGCAACGGTCCGTAGTAATGAATTGATAATTAGAAATTAGTTATTATGCTGTTTTTCTTGGCAATATGTCTCTGAAATCGTGTAAGTATGCATCACTAAGTATGTTAGGTGCTTCATTGCAGTCAAATCCGCCGACATGTTGAACAAATGGGCCTTTGCATTTCGTCTTGTGGAGATGACACACTTCAGTTTCGCAGATGCCTTGCTGCTGCTTTTTTCCTCAATGCGGCTTTGAAGCAGCCTGATGGAACATACAGGTAAAAGTACACTAATATAATTTTTTAGAGCATTCATAGTTGTTTCTTCTACTTGTTCTCTCCTTGCTTTAATTCTCTTTCAATCGTATTAGATCATCGTTTATTGTTTTGTCTGGTTATTCAACAGGTCTGTATGATAATTCCCTCACATTTACGTAACCAAATGGCAGGGCTTTGGCTAGTGGTGAGGTGGTGCAGATCCACCCGACTTCTGTGTTATTCCGAACAAAAGCTGACTATTATTTTCAACGAGTTTATCAAAACTACCAACAAGTACATTCGCAATATAACAATAATTGATGGATTTTGGTTGACGGAGTTAGCTCCCCACTATTATGCCAAGTAGGAGTAGTAGTTCTCATACGAGTACTACGTAATTTACTTCATTGCTTCATTGTTTAATCATTGTTGAAGCTCTAAATCAATTTCACGACACTTTTGCATTGGAACCGGTAAACTTGTGCTGAATATTTTTCCAGATGAGGAGCAGAGAAAAAACAAGGAACGTGTTTACCAATGTCTAACAGAATGGTTTAATCCTATTTGTACCGTCTTAATATCATGCCTAGGTTGTGCAAATTCTTCATTTTTCTTGAAATACTCTGTTCAATTCCTATATGTTCGGTGCATATATGGTAATACGATCATCCAAGGATCTTCCAAATTCGTGAAAATCTTGTGAAAAAGTTGGATATACCCTGTGTTGAATACGAATGACTATTCGTCACTCATACTTGAGTCCGAGTAACTTAAATATATGCAATTTCTATGTGTGCCTGCATAATGTTTTAAAGATTTAGAATGGATCCGTTTTCTATTTAGCTTAAATGGTGGAACTATCCTCCATTTTGTGTTTAATATCCGATCATGGGATTCCTTGCATGTTTGAAACATGCCATGTACCTAGTCCTTTGTTTCTGTAATGCAACAGCAAAATATATTGCTTGTGGATATGCATATCGGTAAGCATGTATCGGTTTCGAGAGAAATGGAAGTGATGAAATCGTTTCAATGATGGAATTCGGAAAGCATAGCTTAGTATATCTGGATGTCTTCTCAGTTCCAAGACTTCAACTATGGAAGTTGATGGGAGACCTTTTGAATTTTAAACGGACGAGCTTTCTCCAATCTATACAGTCGGGGCGGGTTATTAATCTTTTTATGTTCCGTTAATCGGAGTTACGCGTTCCAACGGCTTAGTTGAAGGAACCGAAGGTGTTAGATTTTCGAGATGCAGATCCATGAACATGAAGCTGGTAAGGCTTAATTCAGGCCTCAGCAAGGCTTGTTTTTATGGCAAGTTTTGTTAGTTTGTAAGTGATGTGTATCTCTGGTTTAGCTAGTTTCCGCCATTTTTGTTTCTTCAAGAATAGCTTGTGAAGGCTTAGAATATTGTTGAAACCTTAGAAATAATATAATAACTTGCAACAAGTTACATGGCCTGAGTGGGTGAGTCGAATCTAACGCTCTTGAATTTTTAAGAGGTTAGAAGAACATGTATAAAAATTTATATATACATATTTTTAAAAGGTTATATATGTGTGTGTGCGTCTTATTTTAAAGAGAGTGACGTATATATATTATTAATAAAGTTTATTATGAAATATATTAAAATTTGAATTAGACATGTAAAAATTTTGTATTATTTGGGTTGATAAATGTTATTTTATAATTAAAACTTCATTTGAATTTTTTTCTAAGTTAAATTGAATTTATAAAATTCGAATCGAGTTAAATTGTTTGAGTTCTTTTTAGATTTAATTATAAATATTTATAATATTATGATAATATTTGATCTTAATTTAAATATTTTTTATAATCATATATAACATATATTTCTTCATATTTTTTATGTCATATACATATATTATATAGAGTCGAGTTTATAAAACTACAACTCAATAATCCAATCTAGTTTTTCTGAGTCAAGTCGAGTCGAAAATAGATCAATTTTTTAAATCAAACTGAATTGAAAAGATCAATTTTTCTAATCAAGTCTAATTTTACTCGCCATTAATTCTATGAATGTGTAACTGATCAAAAACAATTTTGATCGAATATACGTGACCAATTATGACTTGGTTTATATCAACTATAGAATTGCAGGTTTAAACACAATAAGGAATCATGGAAGAGTGTGAACAAAAATAGCAAAAGGCTTACTAATCCAAAAAAGACCCAAAAGCTTATTTCCTATTTTTGTTGGTTGTGAAAATAAAGCAGCAACTGACCGTCACCGGAAGCTACAGCCACAACTTTTGGCATCCGCTCCTCATTGGTTGCAATACACGAAACACTGCCACCTGATAAACCGCATTCACTCAGTCCAAACTTACAAATGTATGTACAATGTTGACTATCAAAACTTATCCATCCAAAATCATCACAACCTATCAAATGAATTCTTCATGATTACAACTTACATTCATCCGCAACATATCCAAGGTTTGAATGTCAACAGTCTTTGTACTTCTGTTTAATCTTACTGATAATTGCTAATCCGACAATTATAAAAAAATAATATAATTTTTTAGATTCTTACATTTACAGTTCTTTTTTTCAATTTGACGATTAATATTTGAAAATAAATTAAAATATTATTATTAATTGAACAATACTATTTTCAATCATCTAAGTTTATAGCTTTTTTAAGTGTCAAATTCATAAAAAATTGTAAATGTAGAGGACTAAAACAGTTATTTGGCCTTTTATAGATACCAAGTTGAGGGGCCAAGATTTTCAAATAAAAGAATAATACAGGGACCCAATTTCACAAAAATAAAGTATATGGACTAAATTGAAATACTACAAGAACCTTTGGCATAACTAAACTCATCTAATTATAAGCACATGCTGAGTAATTCCATGAATAGGCTTAACTTAAAAAGGATTACATACCTTTGAAATGATGCAAAACGCCAAGTCTACTTCCGGTGGAGAGTTCCCACATATACACTAAACCATCATTTCTTCCCATAATCCCGTGATCAAATGATGCACCAACTGCAGCAGCCCTGTACAATCAATTTCAACAATTTTTTTTCAACATTTGGTTGGTAATTGTCAAAGTGTATACAGTAGCCATGAATTGATACAATAGTAATCTAACAGCTGCATATGCCAAAAGAAAATGCATTCTCACGTTCAGTATTTGTATTTGCAGTTACTAAATTCTTTTGGTTACTACAAACGCAGAAGGGAAACATTAAAACAGGTTACCTGCTGCCTTACGAAAACACAACAGCACGACTCCGTTTCTATTTGACCTTAGGAAAGTGAAAGCCTGATTTATATTTAAGATGTAGAATAGAAACTTTAAAGCACCTTGGATCTAGTGTACTCCCCAACATCACCCTGTCCTTCACCAACAAAGCTAGCCTGCACAATCCGGATGTATTTGCTTGGCAATTACTTGATAAATGTTCATGCTTAGCATCAGAATTAGTCGAGACAAGAAGCCAGATAGCAACATCTTCCCCCTCCAATGGAAGAAAAGAGCGATCCTTATGTTCAGAAAACCAAAATTTTGTTGCTGCAATGATTTCATCAATGCACCCTCTCATATCAGCATAGCAGGATTCGGGCTGCCAACTAAGTAAACTGATTGGTATGAATTGCTTAATTGGATCGCCAGAACCAGAAAATCTTGAGATATTGACCCGTTTCATAATATCCCTGAGAAGTAAAACCTATTTTCTATCAGTAACTAATCAGGTTTATTGTGGAGGCAAATACAAGAAAACCCCTTTGAAGCCTTATATCTTATGCACAAATCATGCATAAAAGATATAAAAGATCAAAACCTATTAATATTTCCACAATGCTAACCAGCAATTAGTGAAACTATCACTTAGAATCACCAAACAGTATAAAAGATAAAGTTTTTAGACAGAAAGCAACATACCATAATACAAAATCCCCAAAACCATTGTGTCCGATCACCAAATGAGGACACTTTGGAATTTTCTTCAGCTCCACTACACAAGATATGCAGTTGCCAGCAGGCATAATAAATTCTTCTGTCCATGCACTGCAAAAAGTGCACAATATGGGTAAAATTGCATGATTTGTTAAGAAAAATTATGCAAGAGAACATATTTGAAGAGGATCAGAAAGAAAAGGGATAAAGTTTTCACTATCTATTTTCAAATTATATAAAGCACACGCTGACAATCTGCATTATGATAGGTTCGCTGCCACAATATGGAACCTATGCTTAAACCACAAACTAGGCACTTCTCAAATTAATACAAGGAAGATTTTACCATCCCCTATAAGAATAAAGAGGCAAAGTTTGTATGGAAAGCAATAGAAGACATTCACCTCCATGTTGAATTCATGACCCAAAGATGCAGTCTCCCACTGTTTCCAGAAGCCAGCAGATAGTCATTTTCACAAACCAATATACATTGCACACTTTGAACTGTCTCCACCTTTGCAAACAAAGAAACATAACCAGGATTTACTCGCACAATTTTTACTGCGTTCTCCTTCGAGCAGCCTGAAAGACAAACAGAGCAGATACAATCTCTTCTACCTTCCCTAAGAAAATAAATATGATATTAGTAAAATATCTGTTTCAAAACAGTTTGACATGATAGAAACCTAAAGAAACAGTTAACCTGCAATAAGGTGTTTTAATGCTGTCCAGTAAAACAAGACACTGCCCGTCTGGGGTAAATTGTAAGCCACGTCTTTCTACATCAATCTAGGAAAGATAAAAAAATATTTATCACTGACCATGTAAGCACTAAGTCAAGGAATCAATAAGTACAACAGAAATAGCTGTGAAGAGTGTGTATATAAAAACATAAATGTCCACCAAAGCTTACTTCAGAAGATGGTAATGCTATAGATGTGTAACCAACAAAAGAAGGGAATCCTTTCCTTTCTTCTTCAGTAGCCACCTTGTAGACAAACAAGGTTGACAAAGAATGCCCAAGGACAAACTAGTATGCTCTACATCCCTGTAATGATTGACATCTAAACTACCTTGAACTCCCATTGATAAAGACAAGTTCTTGTCACAAAAACCAGTCACCTGGTTTTGACATGATGCAGAACAGCTGTTTTCTACAATAGTTACAATAGTTCTATGTTCAAGCTTCTCCTCGTGACAATTTTCTTGAAATATCCTTTCAAGTGAAACAGATGGATCAAGTAAGCAAGATGCATCCTTTGCTTTAGATACACAAGTCAACTTTTGGACTTCATCAGATAGAGTAGGTCTTATATTACTGATTTCAGGTTTGCAATTTGTAGTAGTTTTCTCCTCATCAATCATGGGTGTATTACCAAAGATATTTCTGTTGCATGGTTTGTCATCAGAAGAGTGACAACTCTTTGGAACAAGTGAAGCTCCTGTCATAGCAGACTTATTAGGGGCATAATCATCTCCAGAATTTCTGCATATGATACTTTCAGAGAGAGGAGCAGTGTAGTTTCTAGTTGAATGAGCTTGTTTTGAGACTTTCTTTCTGGTATATACTTTATTCTGTGTTTGATGAGAAAAGTTAGTACCAGGAGCCCTGGTTTCAACCTTACTGTCCTTCCCTAATAATTTCAATGGAGTTGTGATTCCTCTTGATTTAATATCATCTGTATCCTCAACTGCAGAAACATGATTATTTGTTTCAAATAGAAAGTCATAAAAAAACATGATTAACTGACAAAAAGAATACAATTATCATGCAGTTCCATGTAAATGGACTACCAGGAATTCAGTAAATTGCATGAGAAACAACTCCAACTGCTGTATTTCGACAATGTACATTCTGTTCGAGTGGCAGTTTCTAATGATGAAGATAATTTAGAATTTAAGTATAGGTTACAGGCTAGTAGGAAAATAGAAAGTTTTTATTCTGCGCAAGACTGATATCTTGTCAATCAGTTTTGGAGCCTGTGAAGACTTGAAAACAATTTTGACAACTAAAATTTCAAGGTTGGGTGCATTTCATTACCTTCAGCACAATTATGTGCTTTCTTGGGCTTCTTTTCCACAGAATGTTTTCCAGTATCTGCAGAGTTTTCATCCAAATTCACAGAAACAACCTGGATATCTTCAGAGAGAGCTTTCATGACTGGAGACACACACCCTAAAACAGACTCAGATTTGGTCACATCACAATAAACTGATGTTTCCTGCTTCGGATTGATGCTAAGCTGTTCCTGAATGTTGGAACAAAATGCATCTTTATTGAAACTAGTTCGATCAACCTCCATATGTTTTGAAAACAATACAGCTTGACTAGCTACATGATCCTCCTGACCATCCTCAAAACTGTCAAGAATAACCGAGTTCAAGTGTTCAAGATTTGGCACAACTAAACCTTGGATATGCGTACGCGTACCCTGTTCTGTACTTGCATCCTCAGTTGGACTGATGACTGCAGTTTTAGTAGAAAAACTTATGAGCTAGCAGCAAGAAAAAGATTAACATGAAACTAGGGTCCTAGATGAACTTGTTCAGAAAAAACTTCAAAATTTCAAAGATTTACCAAATGATGGAAGGGCCAACAAATGGTTAGTTTCAATGTTGTCCTTTCGAGAATTTACTTTGCATGAGTTAAATGTTTCCTTTTTCTTCTTTGAAAACCTCTTAAGCAATGGAACAGCTTGAGGAAGTAAAACTGTCATCATCAACTTAGTCATTTCCTGACCGACTGAATCAAAATCACTTTTTTCAGAACCTGTATTTGAATTAGATGTGCCTATTTCTTCTTCTTGATGAGACTCAGTCATGAAGCCATCAGAAATTACTACATCAGCAGCAGTTAACTCTTCTTCCATACCGTTAGTTGTGTCCCTTGCACCCGAAGCAACACTTGTCATGTCATCTGCATAAATTTTGTGGCTAATTACTAATAAGGTGAATGCTCTAAATGATAAAATATGAACAATGGAAAAGAAAATGAGTAACAATGTAGTGTAAAACTGTAAATACTGCAGATAAGAACTACCTTCAAAATCCAAAGTATCAGGTGCACAAAGATTGACATCATTTATGCCCGTGGAATCATTTGGAACTGATGTATCTCCATGCATGTCATCTGTTTTTACTGGAAAACTGAATCCTTCCAGTACAGTATCTTGTGGCCTACACAACTGTAAGAAGTTAAGAATGTTTCTAATATTGTAACAAGTAATGTTACTTGTAACAGCAGAACAAATACTGCATTAACTGATTAAAGACACGAGTTCACATAATTAATTTGTCCCCAAATTCAAAGAGGATGATAATTCTGAGGAGATAGCTATTAAAAGCTAGGTACAGATGGTAAGACTAATTTATGCAATCAGTACCTAAATTTTGCAAGAAGATAGAGGAACATGTTTTCAAGAAGATGTTCTTCTACGAAGGAAGAACCAAATGACAACGAAACATAATATCCAGTCTTACCTCTTCATGTGCAATGTTAGCTACTCCAGTCAAATTTGCATTTTGGGAACTAATAAGCTTGCTCTTGGCTTCATTCTCACCATGATGACCCGAGAAATCAAGAGATTTCAATGGAAAACCATCTTTAGCTGGAGAGATTTTCGTATCTTTCCCCACTGATTTTGAGTGCACTGCTGATGCTTCTATAATTTTGTCATTTTCATCATTTGAAGCAAAATGAGCAGCTGAAAACCCAAGTTCATCTTTCACTTGATTCCCTTTTACTAAATTTGAACCCTTGGTGCCATAACTCAGGTCCTTAGATCGGGGTCGTTTAAGGCCAGGCCTGTCAGCCAACTTGCTTTGCATTATTTCACACCTTGTACTTCTCTTTTTTCTGATCTGTGGCCTAGTCATGTATGGTAGTAAATCAGGAGCAGTAAAGATGGTTGAGCTCCCATTTTCATTTTCCGTTCTAGAAGCTCCATTGCTGGAGCTGGAAGATAACAAACTCCTTTCTGCTGTTCCATTGACATTTGCCACCAATTCCCGCAGCAACCTTTGAACAAATGGATTTTTTAATCCAAAAAACTGCATGTTACAATGCAAAGAAAAACTCAGTGGAATTATCTATGTTTTTACCTATCCAAAATTAGGAAATAAGTTTTTTGACATTAAGCAAGTCAAAAAAAGCAGCACCAAGTGGTCCAAAGAAGCACCACAAAAAACAGACGAGTAAAAGTTTTTAAATATATATAAGGCATTTATGCATATGATAGGCAAGAACATCTGTAAAAATAATCATATAGAGCACATTTACTGCATAGGTTGTAAAGAATACAACAACCTGAGCCACCCAGGAAAAAAAACTATCAAAGAGAAAAGATCAACTCAACTGATCCACATTATACTGCTTCAAATTGATGTCAAAACTTGAACTTTATCATGTTAATTACTATCCATCTAAGTGTCTCACATCTTAATATTTAAGGTAAATCCATAAATATGAAAGAAAAAGAAAATAACTTCATGGATTTCCACGTGCTTGCACATTCTTATCACTATGGCTAAATTTAGTTGTCACCAGCACAGCGCCTAGATCATCATGTTCTATTTTGGATAACCTATTCTATAATAATTCATCCCTCTAGAGACTAAAGTGACCATTAACAAATAAAATGGTTTAACAGGAGAGTTTTAAAATTGTGGTAATCAATTAGAAAACAAGAAGAGAGAGAGATGAATTGTCATAATGGTAGAAAATGCTCCCTGGATACAAGATATGGTAACAAAATAAGAACATAATGACAATAGCAGAAAAATCACAATGGTACATACATCATACATATACTAAACTTATTAATAACAATGTCATTAACCAAAAAAGAAAAAAATTGCAGTTCAGAATGCTGAGCACCAAGATGTACCTCCACACCGTCTATCTTGCATGAGAATCTCTTTCCATGCCATATCTTCAAATGTGAGCAACCCATCTTCTGAAATTTCTCCCATGCAATGTCTGGAGTTTGTCCAGAACACGATTGTCCTTCACAAGTGATCTACATGCAAATTGAGGCACACTTAACTAAAAAAAGTGACAATGGAAAACTAGATACAAGTGCTAGGTCAAACCTTCATATCTGCTTACTTACCACAAACAAAGGCCCTTTAGTACCTTCATGAATTTCTGCCTTATAAGTGCTTCCATTGTGAGCCCTAACAGCTTGATATCCAACAGGATAAGGATATCTATCTTTACCCTACAGATTAGCAAGGTTAAATCCACTTAAATGCAACCTTAAATCATACCGATTTACTCCAATATTTAGCTGTTAGTTCAAATTGATTTTTAAAATTGCTGAAACTTGTTACTCCATCTAAGATTCGGAGTTCCTATATCTCATTTACAAATTCACACCGTAATTACATAAAATTAATATTACTACTACTACTGCTGACATCGGCAATGGATCAGAGTTCATTAGTTTTCGTTTAGTTATTCGGCATATAAATCAATTCCAGGTAAAATAAATTATAAAAGAATAAACAAATCAAGTAAGAATGAAAATATCAAGTAAATTGCAAATAAAAAAGCAAACGAACCCTAGAGGAGCTCCAATACTTCTTCTCCCAAGGGCCTTTGTACAGAGATCCGATGGCGACGATCTCCAGATTGTCAGATTTCGGTACTGCTTCTCCTTCTTTGGTTTTCGGCATTAAAAAAAATTAGTGAAAAGAGAGATTTCCCGAAAGAAAGAATAAGGTAGTAACGAGGATTTTCAAGATAGAGAAAGAGATGGCATAAAATGGCGGTATTTGAATTATCAAAATCCATTGTTTCCCTCGACTTCCTAAATTAAAAAAAAATGAAACTGAAAAATCGCCGTTGCCGGGGATCAAACCTGGGTCGCCCGTGTGTCTGACGGGAATACTCGCCACTCATTTATAAATAAGATTACGTTTTAGTAGTTAAAGTACAAGAATATAAATCTATTGGACAAGAATAAGATTTTTGTTTGTGCTCATTTGTTTATTTTTAACGTATTTAACTTTTTTTTTAGCATTTAGAAACATATTCATTTGTATGGTCCGAATCTACTAGATAATTATTGTAACCCCTTAGACTCGGCCTGGAGGTTATACCCAAATCTAGGTGGTTACATATCTTATTAAGAATTTTTTTTTTCATATTTAAAACAACGTTAAAATCCATATAACAGTATAATATGAAATTAGTCATAAGAAATGTTCATACGATAAGCATATATATATACACACACATGTATACATGCATATATCAGAAAACTATATAAAACATATACATAATAAAATTGGTAATACATATATATCGAGACGATAACAAAAATAAGTGTCACCAAAGTATAACAAAAAATGCATATGGAAATATACAATGATACAAAAATACGAGTAGTTAGTCCTCCTGATGCAAAGTTTGCTAGTCTATGGTCTGCTACTATCTGAAAATGTTAAAATTTACATAATGAACTAAAAAGCCCAGTGTGCTCCTTACGGTGAATAAAAATATACAGATAAAATACTTCAGTAAAAAAATAGTTTATCAAACATGTTTTAAAAATATGACCACTACCCTCATCCGATCACCAGAATGTGTAGGTTCCCCAAAACCATACACCCACATTTACACCCGATAAGGCCTTATACATATAGCATAAGGACTTACCCTGAGCACAAAGCAGAGGAGCATGCGGTAAGGTCTTACAAATCATAGATTAAGCTTGGTATACTTCCTCCAATAATACCCCCAATGACAGTAATAAACGTGTATGTATTTGAGTGAAAACGATAATTTAATCCATTAAAACATGAAAATATTCCAGACTCAGAAAATCATATACATAAATCAGATAGCATATTATAAATGTACAATAAATCCGATATCTGACAAACAATATTCAGAAAATCAAGTATCGTGTCGTAAAAATATTCAACATTATGAGGAATTTAAAACAATTCAGATGAATAGTTTAAAACAGTAATGTAACACCATCAGGAAACACGCCTGTACTAGTCTAAGTACTCTGATAAGAAAGCCTACAACTAAGTATGTCGATCACGATCAGCAGCACTAGATCCTAGGAATCGAAAAATTCATATTAGAATCCCAATATGAATAATAATAACCCCTATTTAAACAATTTATAGATACCTACGAGTAATTCTCGAGGAACGCAAATTGTGAGGATCTGACAGACGGGAAGCACCGGATCTAACCAACCCTTGGTCGGGTATAACACGAGTACCTTCAAAAAAATATTCTCGAATCAATTTCATAATCAAATCCCAAATAAATAAGTAAAATGCTATAAAAAATACTAAGCATTTTCATATTAACGGGTTTGATTATGGGCGTTCATGTCAGAATTTGGCAAAACATTTCACAGAATCAGACTCAGGACGTCAAAAAACATCAAGATGTAGGTTTTCGAAAAAAATTCAACGTCGGTCAGTGGTCAACGGTTGACCGATTCGTTTTGGTCGAGTCAAATCGGGTCAGATCAGGCAAGCGGGTCGGATCGGGTCATCCCAATTTCAAGCATCCCACCAGGCGATGGAACTTCCCCACGCTCAATAATTGCACGTGGGGCACTTCCAGGGCCTTCAGGGGTTGAAAAGATTCTGAAAAATTTTCTATGTATGTTTTAAGAGGTTTTGAGACACTTACTAAGCTCGGTTCACAGTGGTGAATGGCGGAGAACTCAATTTCGAAACATCATAAACTTAATTTTCCTCACCCCTCACATGTCGGCGAAACAGATACAAGATGAACACCGGTGGACTCGGGATGACACAAGGAACACAATGGTGTAGGAGGTGTCAAACATTGAACAACGGTAAATGATAAAACGTCGATCAAAGGTTTCATTCTATAAGAGAAAATGTCAAAATTATAGAGAAAAATATGGTTAAACTATCCAGAAATTGAAAGTTTCTTATTTTTTGGGTTTTAAACTCACACTTTATTAAAAATGGTGTAATTACACTATTGATCATCCAATTTTAGTACTTTTCAAATTTGGACCCAAATTTATCAAAATTTCATTTTGGCCCCCAAATTTTGGTTAAAAATTTTAGACCCTAATTTGGGTGTGACAATCGTACTCTCTTTTTATGCTTTTATTTGCAAGCCAAAGAGAAATGAAGAAATTATGTCACTAATCCTTAAGCTTCTTATGTATTGCAATTGAACACCAAAGTTTACTATGTATTCAATTTAGTCCATACTTTTATCAACATTTTAAATGTAAAAGAAAAGAGATTGAGAAAATAGTAGACAAGTCAATAAACAAATTTATTTCTGAATATAAACGACCTAAACTCATCTTTTCGTGTTCATTTATTTAATATATATGTACATACTCATTTATTTAATTTAATAACGAACATAAACAAAAATTATACGAATAATTTACTGAGCACTCTATTCATTTATACTCATATTAAAGTATATTTTGATAATATATTTGACTTTAAAATTAAATTTGATACATAAAAATATTTTTGTCCAAATTCATATATATTATAATGTAAATACTTTATTTAAATCGTGAAATCAAATTTATATACATAATTATGCAAATTATATTGGCTTAATATAAAAATAAGTGTCCAAACTATACTTAAAATTAACTTTAGGTGCTTAAAGAATTTTTCATTCAAAATAGGTGTCTAACGTTACACTTTTAGGTGTCTACATTGTAACATCCGTTAAAAAATCGTTAAGTTACATGATTTGCTCTCATAATTTTATGAAGTTTTTTTCTTCAAAAAAATACACTTACAAAAAATAACTCTAAAAAAATCCAAATATTTTTGAAATTATAAAAAGACCCTCGAAATCCCAAAATCCCCCATTCAAATCCCTATTACCAGCCTCTGTTGGTTGCCACTACTATTGTCTTCGTCATCGAACAACCACCTACCTACCGTTGCTTCCCCTCTTCGTTGTCGCATCATTCCCCTTTCCAAAAATAGAAAATTAATTTAATAATTTTGGGATTAGGATTAGTAATTTGGGATTTAAGTTTAGGGATTTATGAGTTTAGAGGAATTGGGACGGTGACAAGATGGATGATCGACAGTGAAGGTCTGGCGATGAGTATGTGGCCATTCGACGATGGCGAAGGCCGGCGTTGATGGCCAGCGAAGATTTATATTTGGAATGATGGATTTTAGGATTTTGGGATTTATTTTATAATTTCAAAAAAATGGGTTTTTTAAAATTAATAATATTCTTATTTTTTAATAAAATAAAAACTTTTAAAAAATATAAGAGCGACATGTGTCACTTAACAATCAAATTTAACGGTCTTTACGGTCGAAGCACCTAAAAGTATAACGTTGAAAACGTTAGATACCTATTTTTAACGAAAAATTCTTTAGACGCCTAAAATTAATTTTAGATATAGTTTAAACAATTATTTTTTCATTAAGTCTATTTTATTTTAAAAATGGACAGTATAGGCCATCTCCATCCATGAGTAGCTGGCCTTACGGTGCCCCATGCATCATTTATGTCCATCATGCCTTCTTTTATAGCCTTTTTTCTTTGTGCTCTACAATCCATAACATTGCATCATTCTTTCTAAAAGCCTATCAATTGGTTTGATCTTCAACTTAGCTCTACATCTTTATTTTGATTCCAACTGATACAAAAGGAAACGAGATTTAAAGCCCCCCGCTTCTAGCTTTACAGGCCTGAGCTAGACTTGAAAGGATTCTTAAATCAAACTCAGTAATTGTTAAATCATAGTAAGAACAACACTTGCATCAATGTAGTCTATATAAACAACACCTGTCTTCGCAGTTGTTGGCACTTATCATTTGGGGCTAAGTGAAAGATGCACAGTATAAGTCCGTACGATGTTTTACCCTTTCATGCTTCACGACTTCCTCGCTAACCCACCATTGTTCATCATTGCATCGAAATATCAGATTCAGACATTTTATCTACATGAAAGAATGATGATGAATCATAGAACTTGCTGCAGAATGATGATGAATCAGGTTTGAAGGATGAGCTTATGGATTTGCATACATATATTTTCTGAGGTGGATTAATCATCAAGCATTCAAAAACTTAACAAATTCAGATTTAATCTCTTTCAAAAACTGGAAAGAGGAAAGACAGACAAACATTCCAAACTGTACATATACAGCGAAAAGAAAAGATATATATCAGTCATCACAGTCTTCAATGGCGACGGAAAACAAAATGAACTCAAAGGGCACCATTGGAAACCGGTGCTCCCCTCTTGAAGCTATCCATGTTCGTAGTTTCAAACACAGGCTGAAGATACTATTTTTTATCCATATTATTATTATTATTATTATTATTATTATTATTATTATTATTATTATTATTATTATATTATTATCATTATTAATATTATTATTAATATTATTATTATTTTTATTATTATTATATATTATTATTATTATTTTATTATTAAATATATTAAATATATATAAATTACAAACCAATTACAATTAAACCGGCCCAGTTACAAACCAACTGAAACCGGTCCGAATCCAACCAGAAACCCTAAATATTTGGGTTTCCAGTTAGGGTTTCTTAACCCTAATCATCCTCAGCCGCCTCATCACAACCGTTGGATCTGGCACGATCCAACGGTCCACATGGTTCCAGAAAGAAACCCTAGGGTTTGATACCCTAGGGCCACGCGGCGCCGCCCCAGCTTCCACGCGGCTGCCGACAGTCTTCTTGCCGCTCCGCCGCTGCCACGTCCCAGCCGAAGACTCCAGAAGCTAGAACACCAGCCGTCCACGCCAAGGCTACGGGGTGAGTCACCACTGGTAGTCCGGTGACTCACCGAAGCCCCCTCTTCGGACCGGTCCG